GGGATTTGCCTGGTAAAATAACGGCAAATAAATAAAACAGTATTATTTATGCTTCTGCTGGTGAGCCATAAGGACCTTTGAAATAAAAAACTTAAATCTTAAATAAAGGTTCACACATCTCCATCCATTTCCTTCCTCCTCAGACGACCCTGACCCGCAGACCCCTCCCCGATTAGAGACATATCAACAGCACCACATTCTAACTTTATCTGACTTGTTTAATTTTATTTACTGTTTTATCGTCCTGCAGGCTCTGAGAGAAAATAAAACTGAAGCTGAGTTTTTAATAAAAAAAATCATTAGATTACCCTAAACCTCTGAAAACCTTCAAAATGAGGGAAAATCTGAGTAAATTACAGACATTCTGTTGATGTTAGCAGTTGTCAGCACCTGTCATCCTCCAGACGCATGACGGAAAGTGTCTGAACCAATCACTGATCAGCTGACTGATTTAAGTACATCCTAACATTCATGAGGTACTTTACATTGACTGTTTATGGTTGAGTGTGGGCGTGTAGAGGGTAGAACCTGAGGCGGGACCTTGTGCACAAACTCTGACGTGCGGCTGTGATCTATAAAGGAAAGGTGCGCAGAAACATGCGTACGTACGGTTTTATAAATCTGAATTTTGTTTGGCGTACGCCATTTTCACCTTTTGGCTGGATGTTCACTTTTAACTAGTATACTAACATTTTTAGACCAGGAAGCATGATTAAAATTAAATCTAAAAATGTGAGAAAAAAACATATTTAAATATATTATTTCATAGCAGCTTTTTCCCCTACTATTTTACACCTTGTAGAACCATAATTATTCCAAGAAAATACAGCAGAGAGACAGACTGGGGGGCAACACCCCATGAGGAGATGGAGGGAGCAGCTGCTAAGGTCAAGCAAGGCAGGAAAATCCATCAGAGACGAAGACTGACAAGTGAACACTGCAGATTCATGAAGAACGATGAAAAGGAAGTGAAAACAGTAGGGTAGAGTGGGACAGCACAGGCAAATAGAGTCTTCACAAAGGAGATGGAGAAGGAGCTTGCAGACCACATCAAACAACTTGCTGAGCAGTTCCATGGTCTGAGTCCAAAGAAATGCTGTGAATTCACATTTGAATTCATGAAAAAACAAGATCCCTGTCCCTAAAAGCTGGGAAACAAATGGTTGTGCTGATAGGGCAGCTTCAATTGCTTCCTGCCACGTAAACRCAAAGAATTGTGAGAACTGTATTTTAAATCAAAACCGTCAACCAATAGTCAGCTCTGTGAATGATCAGACGTGTGAGGGGGCGCTGCTTCCATACAAATGGTTTTTATCGACTACAACCCCTGGAAAAAAGTATGGAATCAGCAGTCTTGGATGAGCACTCATTCAGACATTTCATTCTGTAAAACAAACTCAGTTCAAAAACGTGATACAATAACTAGACACCACAAAGCTGTAACATAATGACCCCTGCACGCACAAATGCACCAGAACTCAGAAGTCTTTATTCCTAAT